GCCTATTCCTATATATGGGTATGTGTGTGTGTGTGTGTGTGGCTGTCCTTGTGTGCGCTCTTTGATTATAACGATTTGGATGTAGCTGTTGTGCCTTTGGCTGCTGCTCCTTCTATTTGTGTTGTTGCTACTCGTCCCTAAGCTGATTTACGTGTATTATACATATGTGAGTGTGTGTGTGTGGATGTTTGTCTTTTTTGCTCTACACAAATGGGCGTATGAGCGATATTTTTTTGTGTTGTCCTTTTTTTGTGTGGCTGGGTCTCTCTTGTCTGGCTTTTGCACAGTGTTTAGTTGCTGGCAACAGTTGATTGATTGATTGAACGTTTTGATAAGTGCTGTCACTGGGTTAGCTACGTTTTTTATTGACTTGTCTGTGGCTGAGTTTTTAGACCGCACCCATCCACACATCCACCCACTTGTATTCTATCTATTGTGCAGAGCGCAAAAGACTCTAAGCATTATCCAAACAAAATTGCTGCACAGCTCGGTTTTCTCTTGCAGGCTGGGGCAGCAGCACAAGTCAAACATAATTGACCACAAGCCAAGGCACATGCTGGCCAAGCAGAACCCAATGGGATTTTGTTAAAATATCAAAAACCAATCTGCACAAAGATTGCTAAATAATATGCTACCCTTCCATTGCCAAATATCAAAGGGTTCAATTTTAACTCAAATGCCAAATACTATGTGAGATTTAGCAGAACTAGACCTGACTTAAGTTAAGTGTTAAAAATATATCAGTCATTCATATTAGAAAGGCGAATCTTAAAGCAATCTTTCAATTTCAATAAAATCATCTTCGAATTATCACATCATTATACATTTGGCTCAGTTATTCTCAAAAAAAAAAAAAAAAAAAAAAACCTTAAGCAATCTTTTTATTAAGCATGAGGAGGCTTTATTTCGCTCTTTATTTTAATTACTTCCGCATCTAATGCTTCTTCTACTTCTTTGCTTTCTACTCAATTGTGCACTGTCGTTCAGCTTAAGCTGTTCCCGCCAACTATCCACGGCCTCATCGCTACAGATATGTTTAACTATCGATCGATATACAACTATTCCCTTTAATCTCTTATTGGCCAACTAAATTATTTATTTTCAAGTCAGAATTGATATAAAATTAAAACGAACATATATATTAATTCCTCATTAAACAATATGGTATAAAGGTAAAGGAAAATATCAATAATTACAAAAACAAAAACAAAATTAATTCTGAGAAATGAAAAACCCTATATCCTCTTCAGTCCGTCAATCAAAAACTTTATAGCTAAACGGCTTCAGTAGGATGGGTTGCTAAGTCTGAGAAGTTGTTTCCAATACTTTAGCTAACAACACTGTACATACTAAATTAATAAATAGGGCTTTGTATTGCTAAAGTTTTGAATACACGTGGGCGTGGTGCAGTAGCTTAATAAGCGTTTAGCTGAGCAACTGCAATCGACAATTGAGACATAGCCCCAAGCCCTACCCCACTTGAGGCACATGCTCGAAGGCAAAGACACATGCAAAGGAAGACAGAGAGGAGGAGAGTGAGGGAGTGAGTGAGCGAGTGAAAGAGTGAAAGAGAGAGAGGCACATTACTTACACTCGGACTCGCTGGCCAAGTGGTGGCAGGCAGCGTGCACTTAAGTAAACTGCACGAGTGCCGGTTCGACGTCCACAAGATTTGTGGAACAGGGTGGCAACGCTCACAGACTGCACTCGAAACGGATTTCCTTGTTATGCACAGAGAGAGCGAGAAAGATAGACGGAGCGAGCGAAAGGAGGATAGGGTAGAAAGCCAACTCTTGGGCATAAACTTGTACGCAAAAGTTTCATTCATGCACTTGATAGCACCTAATGCAGTCAAGGATTGAAATTGAAGCGGGCGCTGCTGCTGCTGTGGGCGTGTCTGGAGTGGGCGGCTGTGGCCGGGCGCTGCCTGTGAAGCGGCGCAATTAGTACGCATCGATAGACACGCGCCTGCACTCGACACCAGCGAGCACAACAAAAGCGAGCAATCCAAGCAAAATGCTAATTAAGTGGCTGGACAAAAGCTTTTGCTTTAAGAAGCTGACTCCTGCTGCCTGCCACACATGCCACACTTGCCGCACTTGCCAGCCTTGCCAGTTGCCACATGCCACACATGGCGCTGAAACAGTCATATATCATAGTCAGCTCCAACTGTGCTCAAAAAACCAAGAGCATTATACAAAAGCGCACAAAAATTATGTACACGAGCGGGTCAGCTGCTGCTCGTGCGACCATTACAAATGTGAGCATTTTGCAACACTGGTCGATTTTCTGGTACTTTCAGCAGCACGCATGCCGCAACTTTCGGCACAATTAATGTATGCAGAATTTGTTTAATTGACGACTCGCATGCCATAACTTATATGCCAACACACACACACACAAAGGCAGACACAAAAGTCTGAACTTTTGGCCAGAGTTGGGCAGAATTGGCTAGAGAAAGGGTATGAGGCAGCGGGTAACGAGGGCTTGTTAATTGCATTGCGCTTGACATGCATGAAATGTGAGATAGGTACCGTAATACCCTGTAAAGCAAGAACGTTTAATGCTTGGCAAAAAACTTCTTCGTATGTAGTAAATACTGAGATGCTTTTGGAATAGTTTAATATAAGTTAATTCAAGATTAATAATATTTTACTTTTATTTAATAAATTTTCAAAATTCTTTGAATACTTTTAGTATGCTTTGATAGCAATTAATATACGCAATTTGAGTTTCTTTTCAGAAATAAAGGAATGAGTGTGTGTGTGTTTGTGTGTGTGTGTTTGTGTGTGTGTGTGAGAGAGAGAGAGAGAGAGAGAGAGAGAGTGAAAAAGAGAGAGAGGGAGAGAGAGAGAGAGAGAAAGGAAGCTTTTCTATATTTCATGTTAATTGTTCCAGTGAATACTGAACAATAAGAGTTATAAATGTAAAAAAAAAAATTAATAATTTAAATTTTATTACATACAGCTTGCAGTTTTTATACCCGACGTTAAAAATGAGTTGTATAACTATATAAATGAGATATATACTACGCCAGATCTAATGACTTATGCTTACATTATTTATTTTCATGGATCATGAAAGGCAGTAAGAATTAAAAATATAGTAAAATTAAGTTTGTTTACAAAATCGACATTTTTTTTTCTAATATATATTATATCATATATATGTATATGTATACATTTTTCTTGCTCTATATCAACATATATAAAACATATTCCACTCATTCATGAGTATTATTTTTATTATATATATATATGTTTATCTCTCTATATCTTGCGTGCTGGTTATACACTAGCTAATTCAATACCCATTGCCTTCAGGGCTGCAATTTGCCTTTGGCAGAAATTTAACTTTCTGGCAGCATGCACTTGGCCAGAAGGCATCGGACAGAGTCGTCGCCCCTTTGGGCCGTCTAAGCGAATTTGCCAGTTAACGTTAAAGTTTTTGTCGCCTGTGCGTGTCGCTGCAGTGAATAATAAGGCAAGGCAGCAAAGGAGAAGCGGAATAAAGTAATATAAAAAGTAAAGGGAAAACACAAGAAGAACAAAGTTTTTAACGGCGAAGCCATTTCATGCTCATAAGCATAACTTTGCAATTTAAGAGTTTTGGAATTTTGGGAATTCGCATGCAAAAAGCACAGCTCGAAGTGGAGCGTGAAAATGTGTGAGGGCAGCCGAGGCGAATAATTTGCTGTTAGCTCGAGCTAAGTTTTGGCTTAAAGTTCGTTTGGCTGCGGCCAACTTTGCTTTACAATCAATTATGAGTGCAGGTTGAGTGGAGAGTATTGTTAACCTGTCCGGCACACATTTAAATGCAATTTAATGCAATTTATGGCCTGTTGCCAGGCCTTATAATGCGTTAGCCAGCGCCACAGCCAGAGCCAGAGTCAGAGCCAGAGCCAGAGCCAGAACAACAGCCCTTATTAAAAGCGGAAACAATGCGCACTTCCGCCTCAATTGTGCAACTGCAACCTGCACATGTATGCATGCATGTGTGTGTGTGTGCCATAGGACACGCAAATGAGCACTGGTATAATGTGCATGCATTATTATTCATGTTGTTGGCGCTGATAAAGTAAAAAAAAAAAAGTGAAATAAAAACAGCCACACGAACAAGAAGCGCCACTACAACAACAGCACAAACTTAACAATTTATAGCGCTCTCCAGCCCCCGACTACAGCGAGCCACGCCTCTTTTTGGCATTATGCATAGACCAAGAGGGAGGGTTGGAGAGAGGGGAAAGGAAACCACTTGGCCGCGCTTAAATTACCAGCCATAAATAAACAGCGTTCAATTAATATGGCCAAAGAAAACTGCGTGTGTAGTTGCCTTCTGCCAGCCTTAGTGAAACGTTGCGTATACGCAGCGTATTCCATGAAAAGAAATGCGAAAGGCGTTGGCTGGGGCAGGCAGACAGAAGAGTTGGCACTACTATCATAAGCAGCCACATCAGCAATAAACAGCGCAGCACACAAGGAGAATGCGATATGAATATAAGTTCAACTTGAAATAATGCTCTCCAAAGGATCTGTTCAGCTATTCTTATCTCTATTGTTTCGCGTCGGCTTGGTAATAAAGTTCTTTAGTTGTAAACTTTTTGATTGTAATGTGTCGCAAAGTTAACCAAATTACGTAATATATGGAATATATATTTCATATAAATATTTGTTTTTAAGAAAATGAACTAGATTTTTGTTTAAAGAAAATCGAAGGAAACCGTTTAAGCATGTGACATGAAGCATAATTTATTAAATGTTGCCAGCGACAGCATAACCGAGTGAGTGATTGACATATGGACTGATGACTGACTGATTGATGATGGATCAACTCACTCATTGATTGATGGTAAAAACGAAGTCTATCATAGAAAACTGAACTGTGCACAGAAGACATTTTCTATACACGAATATCTTTACTCCCACAAAATGAAAATCTATAGGGTATTATCTAGGCCAAGCAACACACATATCTACATATGTTTATACACAAAGTCTTACCTCATTTACAAGCATGTGTGGCTTATTGTTGGGAAACTGTTTCGTCAGCTCGTAGCCAGATCTGAAATGGAAATAAGTGAAATATGACGTTAAATATTTGATCTAGAAATGTGTCCAACCTATAGTTTTTTCTTTATATATACACACATCTCTGCGTTTCATTTTTCGGCTTTTTATTCATTTTATTCCATTTTGAATTAACATAAAAGTCGCATTTATCAAATTGCGGAGCAAAACTTTAGAAAATAAGGAAACCAAACACAAGCAAGAAGGGGTTGCAGCAAGCCAAACGCCCTCTGTGCTAGCCACGCCCACTTGTAAGACACACGAAACTAAAGGGAACTAGGGAAAAGAAAAAATAAACTGAAACCTTGTCAAATGTTTGCTTTTATCAAAGGGGACACTTTTAGTTGGCATTTTGTGTTGTGATTTAGATGAAATTTCGCATTTTCTTTGGTTTTTCTTATTCTCTACGAATTTGTACGATGCGGATTTGCTCGGCCGCACTCTGAATGGGTTCAAGGGATCAAAGTGCTGTTTAAGCAGCCGTTCTAAACTCATTTGACCATTTTAATGTCGTTTTAAAGACAACAAACTGACACAAAAAGGATGTGCCTGCAAGGCACACACACACACACATACATACGAATACACACACGCACACAGCTGGGTAAAACTTGTCGTTTGATTTTGTGTGTTTGGGTTTTGTGGGGAGAGCCAAATATGCTGTCATCACGATTATCCTTAACGTCGTATGGCTGCCAATACCAGTTGTTTCCTCTTCCGTTATAACAGCAGCAGCACACACACACACACTCACACACACACATGACACTGCGGATGTGTAAGAAATTTGTAAAACGAGCCACAGCCCCAATATAAGAGATAGCAGCTGGAGAGGGACATACAAAGAGAGCGAAAGAGAGAGGGCTAACGCTTGGCATAAGCCAAAAGCCAGTACAACAGTCAACTATAGTCTGACCTGCCACGCCTCTGGCTTCCTGCTGCCCTCCTGCCCCGTCACTCATTGCCTGTCCCCGCCCTCAGCCCACTTCGTCTTGTTCTGGCCTGATTGCCAAAATGTGCGTTCTTCTAGTTGCAAAAAAAAAACAAGAAAAAATAAAGGGGCTTACTTCTATACCGTTACTCTACAGCTCGCCCCTTCATTTCACTTTGTTGTCTGCTAATTTTTGGTATTTTCTGCTGCTGTTGTTATTGGTATTTTGTCAGCCTCCGCTTCCTCCTTTTCTTCATTTGCGTATTTTTATTCACTTGGCGAACTTTTGCTTTGCCGTTTCATGCATAATTCTTTTTTTTTTTTTTTTTTTTTTTGCTTTTTGTTTTTCTTCCTTTATTTCATTTCAGTTCACTTTTGAATTCTTTTCTTCTCATTTTTTTCTCGGTTGCAAATTGAAATTTAAAATTTATGCAAATTGTGCTGTCAACCCCAAAAGGGTTCTCATGATGGTGCAGGAAATGGTTATTGCCACACACACACACACACACACAGAGGGAGAGAGAGAGACACACATTACAGTCCGATTTCGAACTTCAATTTCGCTGTCATTTAATGGTGTTGGTAATTGTGTGAGTCCGTCTGTCTGCCCGCTTGGCCAACTGTCTGCCCGACTTGGCGCACAAATTAATCGAAATTAAAGTTTCAGCTCAGCTTTGCTGTGAACATTTTTTATGGCATACTTTGTGGCGTAGCAGTGCTAACAAGCCACGCCCAGCCGGCACGCATTAGCAAGGTTAAGCACGAGCATGAGAAGGAGAAGCAGGAGGAGCAGGTCCGCCTTATCTAAAATCCTGGCACGCTATTCAAGTCCACAGCTCCAGTGACCAGACGAGCCATTCGGCGGCTTAATCACAGCACAGCACGCAGCCACGCCCCTCATGCTGCAGCCCATGTGTTACGGCAGCAGAGGAGAGGTGGGGCCGTTACTTCAGCGTCGCCGCGTGCAATTAATTAAAAACAAACAAATTTCAGAAATGCACGGCAGTATCGCGCCTCGAGCCCCGCGCCACCTCTCCAGGAGCTGTCGATGAACAATGAGGGGGCAGACATCGGGTACAGTGGGTACAAGCGATTCAGTGTGGACAGCATGGTCAAGCAGGACACTGACCAGAGCACAGCTCTGCAGACAGCAGGCAGGAGCAGCAGGCAGTCGCCAGGCAGGCGACAGGCGACAAAAGTTGCTGCTCTAAGCGTTTTTTAATGCAGCGCAGCGCACAGATTTCAGCCTCGCTATCCTGCTCCCTCCCTCCTCCTCTGTCACTCGCCCTCTCTCGCTCTTGCTCTCCAGTGTCCTGTCTCTGGTAATTTCGTTTTATTATTTTGCAGTTTTCTGTGTCGCTACTCGACGCTGTGTGCTCTACTTTGTAAATATTAAATTATGAACAAAAAAACCTGTAGAGGGAAAGGCACAAAAAAAAGTCCCCAAAGGCAAGTGAGCGAGCAGCCGCAGCCAGAGGTTTTTTACACTATTATTATTATTTTTTGCTATTTTTTCGACTTTTTATTTTTTGGCCCACTGTCAACGGCAGCTGCAGCCAACAAAAGCAAAAGGCAGCCAAAGAAATCAGATAACTGTTATGGTTATGGACCATAATAACTGCATTCCAGGTGAGACCAAGAGACGCTGAGACTGTGAGTCGGTGTCCTCTCTGCACAACTGCAGTAATCTGGGCCTCTAGCAGTGCTTAGACGACAGCCGCAGCTGCATCTGCTGCGTATACGTAACGCGCATTACGTATACGGATACGTATACGTTATGTGCGCCATTTAAACCAGCCAGAACTACAGCCTGTGCCCATTTGCTTTAACAATTACGTGACACTCGCAGCAACTAGCCATATTTCTATCTTCCTCTCTACCTTTCACTCCTCTCTCTTTGTCTCTTTCTATATAGCTCCTTCTCTATATATATAGGATTCTACACACACATTTGGCACACCGCATTTCACATTCGCGCAGCATGTGCACCAAATGACCAAAGCTGAGGCGTGGTCACTGCTAGAGCGCTTTTATTATGGCCACAACCTCAACTGCTTTGACAACAATATGCGTTTTATTCCCAAGAAAACAACATGAAAGCGAAAGAGGGATGAGAACCTAGCATAATCTTTTTTACATATTAAATCTTCCAAGAAAAAAAATTTATTCCGTCTTCTGTTAAATATTAAATGACATTTTATAAGTCAGGAAAGCAATAATCTTTAAGAAAACATAACTATATTCTATAACTATATTCTATATTCTATATGCTTAGGTATATGTTATTTGAAGCATAATAATATATATTTCCAATTAATTAAAGACGACCTTAAGAAAAGATGATTATAATATTAATAAAAATAAAAATAAATATATAGTTAATAATATTATATTATATACTATAATATTATAATTTATATTACTTATAATTAACAAGTAAGAAAGCTCTAGTCGAGACTACTCGACTACGAGATCCCCTGAACCCTTGGAGTAATAGCTATTTCAATAATTTTTCGCGTCTTTCAGCTTACACAAGAAACACGCACACACACACACGCACGCACGCACAGACAGCACACACATACATAAACACATACACACACAAGCAACCACGCATTAACACGCATGGGCGGCAGTGAGCGCTTACTATGAGAACTTAATTGCTTAATAACTTTTTTTGTGGACGTACGATCTTCATGAAACCTTTAGATTATGATAACAACATAGATATGCATGTATTTGCGAAAGCACAAGTCTCTAGTATTTGAAATACGCTTTTTACAAAAGTGAGGGTGAGGGGGTGAATTTAGAGATGGGGGGTAAATTTTAACAAAAACCGAAATTGTATAAATTGCATATAAGCATACATTAAAAATTTGGAGACTCTAGCAATAAAGGTGTAGAAGATATAATTTGATAACTGGTTTTCGATAAGGTTTTTTATCGATAAAAAAATATCGGGATGAGTTATCGATTTTTAATGATAAACTTGATATGCGCGCTGTAATTACGGACATTTAAAAAAAAATTTGAAGTCTCTAGCTCTTATATCTTCTGAAATCGACGCGTTCATACATACGGACAGACGGACAGACGGACAGACGGACGGACGGACAGACGGACAGACGGACAGACAGACGGACAGGGCCAAATCAACTCAGCTCGTCGCCCTGATCAAGAATATATATACTTTGTGGGGTCTGCCACGCCTCCTTCTGCCTGTTACATACATTTCAACAAAACCATTATACCCTGATTTCCCATTGAAAATGGGTTCAGGGTATAAAAATGATTAAATAAATAAATAATAAATAATTATTATCTTCAAACTTAAAAAATTTATTGTTTTTCTTTAATAAAAAAAAATAAAATAAATAAAAATAAAAAACATGGGTTTGTCGAATATTGACAGCCCTTACTTATATCAGTCCCATTTCGAATTTCAAGAATCACTCTGATGAAGTCTTTAAGACACTACAGAACGGATGAATAATCTACATAATGCAACCTGAAAGAGCGCCCGCTAGGAAGCCTTCACCTTTTTAAGGGGTTGCCCAAGCTTTACAAATACTGCCAGCAATTTCTCTCAGTGTGGCACCACATGATACGCCACTGATGACCATCGAGCTAACTGCTTTAAGTGTGTCGCTAGTTCTCGACTCTTCGTGGCTCTGACAACGACTCCGCCTCGTTTGACAGTAATACGTAAAAAAAAAAAAAAAAAATGCACAAACCAAAAATGGAAAAAAAAAATTGTAAAAACGAAAATTAAAATTGAAAACGACAAAAAGTTGCGACCGCATCCGGAACAGGCCGCGACTGTTGGCCCCGTCTCTGGGTGCTGCTGCTGCTGTCGTTTGTCCTTTGTCGCATGCAATAAGTGCTAGTTGAGTGGCGGCACTTGAAAGCAGAGCCACACCAAGTACACACACACACATACACACACACACACTGACTGCTGGTTATTCAATTGGCCAGCTGCATGTGTTTCTGGCGGCGCTTCGGATTACAGTTTTTGGCCCCCGTTGGTGTCGGTGTCGTTTGTTGGTCTGGCGACCTGACGC